TGAACGGTGTTAGGTCTTGACATTGTAGGCCTATGCGAGTTCGGACGTCAGCTCGCGATATAGGGCCGTGGTGGAACATCCCCTTCTCTTCGACGACTTCTTTCATGATGATCGTTGCAATGTCTCTCTGGATGCGAAAGAAGTCATCTCTGAGTTTATAATCCGATTCTTTTCCTAGGATTATGCCCATTTTCTGATATGATCATCGTTTCTCGTTGTCAAGCAAAGCTGTTGGGGATCCCGTTTGAACTCCATCATGAGATGGATGAGGTACAATCCGTCGTTCTTGCTTGCTGTCGGTTGATGGATGCCACAGAAGCTAGTTTATGCGAGAAACCCGGCTTGCTCTTCCTTTGTTTCTTGATCTGGAGGTGGCCACCCCTCATGCTGAAGCCGCGGAGAGCATCATCTAGAATATCCCTTATATGGGTGTAGCCCTTCTTCTTGTAGTTTCTGGAAGGGTCAAAACACACGACGTGGGAGACTCGCGGGAAAAGAACGATAAGGATGGCGCGCCCGTTGCTGCAGGAAAAAACACCTAAAATTATTCTCCATATGAAGCGAGAAGGACTGATTGAAATGTACAAAAGGGTTGTCCGGCAATGCCTTATATTGGCTGATAAGCAGGAGAACCCTTTCCTTGTCCTTATTCCTTATCATGAAGACAAGTTGTATGCTCAAAGTCGTCGAGACTCAAGAAGGACTCGTGCATGCTGTAAGGATCGGCCACACAGATTTGCAAGATTTGTTCTCTTGTGATGACGAAGTTTATATGTAGCGCAAAAAGGGGGACAATTGTAAAATTGAGTCACCTTGTGAGAAACATCTCAAAGATATGATAAAACCGCATGAAGAACACCTCCGCGGGCAGTGTGTCGATATAGCACTTCTCCTCGGGCACACAAACCATGTACAGCAGATATCTTGGATCCTTCGAGGCTAGAAGGCTTTTCTCAGTCCTCATCACATGGTCGTGCAATCTCTTAAGATCCCCTTATATGCCCTCCAGCGGTTTCAGCGATAGGATCGGCTCGCCCGCGACATGGTACATTGCCGCACCTTTGACCGGTAAACGGTCTGCAAAATCCGCCGACTGGCTGCTAGAAGCTTTGGCCTATTTGTAGGCAGCAGCACCTTTTTTCGGCGGTTTCTTCCTCTCTTTTTTTGGGCTAACCTTCCAGAACCTTCCTTAACCCTGCCACCAGTGTTGTCGGTCTAAGCATTGTACGACCCTACTTGGCTAGTTGACCCTGCGTTGAGGCGCCATCTGGACGTGTGTCCTATGAGAAATGCACGAAGAGAGACTTCTTGCAATCAACCCTAGGACGTTCCTGCCAGGGCACATCATTCATCTCCTCATCTGCATGCTGATCATAGCCCAACTCATATGGCTAACTCATCAGTTCTCTGGTGTCATAGGCGCCGGTATTAAGGAACCGAAGAGGGCCGTCGTCCATCTCATCATCCATTTGTTGTTCCACATGGGCAATTCCATCATCCACTACTGGACCCCCTTCCTCGCATTGTCCGTCGCTCTCAACGGGCACGAGATCAAATGCTAGTAATTGCGTAGGAGGGGTGGTGTTCATACCTTACTGATGTGATGTTGTCTTGGTCTGCTCTCGGACGCCTGCTACGTCCATTTTGCATCATGCTTTTATATCGACATTTATTGCATTATGGGTTGTTACTTCACATTATGTCACAATACTTATGTCTTTTCTCTCTTATTTTACAAGGTTTATATGAAGAGGGAGAATGCCGGCAGCTGGGATTCTAGGCTGGAAAAGGAGCAAATATTAGAAACCTTTTCCGCACAACTCCAAAAGTCCTGAAACTCCACGAAGTCAGTTTTGGAATATATTAAAAATATTGGGCGAAGAAAGCACCAGAGGGGGGCCACCCACAGTCCACGAGGGTGGGGGGCGCGCCGTACCCCCTGGGCACGCGCCCCTTAATGCCCATCTTCTGGTATAAGGTGTCTTTTGCCCTGGAAAAATCATAAGGAAGCTTTCGGGATAAAGTGCTGCCGTCTCGAGGCGGAAGCAATCTAAGCCTCCGATGGAGCTGTTCTGCCGGGGAAACATCCCTCCGGGAGGGGGAAATCATCACCATCGTCATCACCATCCATTCTCTCATCGGGAGGGGGTCAATCTCCATCAACATCTTCACCAGCACCATCTCCTCTCAAACCCTAGTTCATCTCTTGTATCGAATCTTTGTCTCAAAACCTTCGATTGGTACCTGTGGGTTGCTAGTAGTGTTGATTACTCCTTGTAGTTGATGCTAGTTGGTTTATTCGGTGGAAGATCATATGTTCATATCCTTTATGCATATTAATACCCCTCTGATTATGAACATGAATATGATTTGTGAGTAGTTACGTTTGTTCCTGAGGACATGGGAGAAGTCTTGCTATAAGTAGTCATGTGAATTTGGTATTCGTTCAATATTTTGATGAGATGTATGTTGTCTTTCTTCTAGTAGTCTTATGTGAACATCGACTACATGACATCTCACCATTGTTTGGGTCTAGAGGAAGGCATTGGGAAGTAATAAGTAGATGATGGGTTGCTAGAGTGACAAAAGGTTAAACCCTAGTTTATGCTGCTTCGTAAGGGACTGATTTGGATCCATATGTTTCAAGCTATGGTTAGATTTATCTTAATTCTTCTTTCGTAGTTGCAGATGCTTGCGAGAGGGATTAATCATAAGCGGGATGTTTGTTCAAGGAAGGGCAATACCCAAGCACCGGTCCACCCACATATCAAATTATCAAAGTAAAGAACGCAAATCATATGAGCATGATGAAAATTAGCTTAACGATAATTCTCATGTGTCCTCGGGAACGCTTTCCTTTATATAAGAGTTCGTCCAAGCTTAGCCTTTGCTATAAAAAGGATTGAGCCTCCTTGCTGCACCTTGTTTACTTTTATTACTTTTTACCCGTTACGAATTACCTTATCACAAAGCTATTTGTTACCGATAATTTCAGTGTTTGCAGAGAATAACTTACTGAAAACCGCTTGTCATTTCCTTCTGCTCCTCGTTGATTTCAATACTCTTACTTATCGAAAGGACTACGATAAATCCTCATTTGCTTGTATGTAAATTCTAGCTAGCAGATATTTGTGATTCTTGTGAAAATAAGAGAAAAATCAACATGAAAGAAGAGAAGGCTCGGTAAACATTAAGATGAGCCGTTTCCCTGTTCCAACAAGTAATAACAAATTCACAATGGAGAAATTGAGCGTCTATTTTTGACTCTTTCAAAAAAGGCAGACCTATCTGGAAGGTTGTTAATGTATTCAAAGAAAGCAGACCCACCAGGAAGGTTGTTAATTTGTTACGCGAAAACAAACAGACGAACTTGAAATGTTACGGTATTCTTAGGACCATACACGCAACAAGTAATGTAACTGTAATTACTAACCTGGCACCGGTATTCGAGACGTGAGAAATCCGTGACATTTAACTTAATTTCCATCAGCGAGTTGTAAACGAATGAATGCTCGTATAGGGATGCCCATCGGCAAGTGGTGGAGGGTGTGGCTTGCGCCATCTCAGTGATCCGCGGCATAGCCTTTCCTCTACCCATGGTTTTATTCTTTTCATCATGCCGCCATGCCTATATATACAAAAGATAGCCACCTGTCCACGTGCGGGTGCGCGTGCGACTTAAGACTTGGGACGACGGGCGACGGCAAGAGGCGGCGCTTCCCTTGTGAGGTTCAGAGGTTCTTGTCATGAGGAGGTGGAACAGGTTCGTCACAACCTCTAGATCTCTTCCCGCAGTCTGCGACGCCGCCACCAGGCTCATCCATGGAGGTCCCTCTTTTCTCTCTCTCTCTCTCTCATCAATGGTGATATGTTCTTTCAGACATGCCAAGTTGAAGTAAAATGTGCTACTTAAAGAGCAGTGTAAAAATATTTGTTTCAGTTGAATTGAAGAGAAATAGAAGGAAGGAAATTAAAAGCTCAGTCTCTTCGTGAGGCAGCCGTGCTTGTGTTCATGCGTGCTTGGCCTGTGACTGTGAGCCAGCCGTGAGGAAGAAGAGGGCTCCAACATCCCGTTTGCTGACAAAAATGGTAAAACATGTGCTGGGAAAATTCAATCTTTTAAAAGACGTACAAACATCTACTCCTACTACTACATGTCTACTTGCATTCTCGTCTCAGATGGAACTCCCACCACCCAAACGATTCCATCCAGATCGAGGGTCTTCACTCTTGGCCGTAGTAGATGGCCTCCTCCGCATCCTCGCCGGGACGAACCACGAAGTCGTCGAGCCCCTCGTCGCCGGGGCGGTACAGCTCGAACTTGCTGAAGTCCAGCGTCGCCCACTTCTCCCTGACCCAAGCCTCCGACCTGGCCCTCTCGGCGAAGTAGCCGTGCTCCACCTCCACGTAGCCCTTGGTGAAGAACTGCTCCACGACGTCGTCGCGGAACTCGTTCCACATGGCGTCGATCCTCCGGGCGAGCGCCGCCCTCTCCGGGTCCTCCGGCGTCGGGCACGCCTCGCTCTTCAGGGCCAGGATGAGCTTCACGTCCGACTCCGACAGTCGCGGCTTCTGCCCGGTGCTGGCCCCGCTGTCGAGGTTGAGTGGCTTCATCGGACCACGGGCGCCGGCAACCTCCATCGATCGGACCCTCCTCACCGGTGATATGGTCGGTAGATCTGGACTGCCTTTTGCGATTTCGAAGTTGGATTTGTGTGGAGCTGCGAAGGAGGGAGGCGGAGGAGACGGCGATGTATATAATGCCTTCGTTGTTGCAAGGAGTCGGAGTCGGAGATGGTCACCGGGAGGGAGGTGGAGTGCCTCTCGGACGCGGTCGGATTACAACGATGTACGTACATAATATACGTACTACTGAAAAAAGCGTACAGTGCCACGTATAGAGACGTATAGAGAAGTACGTTACGTACGTATATGCGTGGTGGAAGTAACTACGCAGTGCAACGTATTACAGTGCCACGCATGTTCTTCTGCTACCTAACCTAAGCCTGCCGCGTGCGCGTCATCCTCCTCTCGTTCATCTCGGCGGCCGCGGCCACCGCGTCGGCCACGCCCTTGCCTCCCCCACCACCTCCCGCAGGGGCGTTGCGGTTCGCAGCTGTGGCCACCGCAACGGCGTCCTCCCTCGTGGCTACCTTGTTGGCCGGGAGCACCGCCGCGGCGCTGCCCAGCGCGTCCCTCAGCCGGACCTTCTCCTCCTCTGCGAGGCCGGGCCTCATGTTGGTCTCCGCGGCCTGCTGCGCCGCGGCCGCCACACCGCCGGGGATGAGGCCGCCCAGCCCCGTGGCACGCGTCTCGGCGGCCTGCACCGCAGCCGCGTCCGCGAGGTCCACCGGCCTCTCGCCCGCCGACGTCTGCGCCGCGGCCTGCAGAGCTTCGCCGATGGTCACCGCGTCCGTCGCCTCCTCCACCCCGGCGCCCGGCACCGGCACCGTGAACTGCGCCATCACCTGCATGCATGCATATTGCGTGCGTGTCACGCGCGTACGGGCATCACGTCGCCGTGCAAGTTCATGGAGCGCACGCGCATGGATGCATGCATACGAGGAGTATATAGACGCGCGGTTGTTACCTGGCCGCCTGCGGTGGCGGTGACGACGCGTCTCCCGGCGTGCGGTTCGTCGGTCTCAGTGACCCGGAGATCGCCGCGTCGGCCATCTTGTTTCTGCTGCTGATCATCATGGGTGGCGAGGACCTCGTCGCGCTGTCGGCGAGCGTCGTGGGCGGCGGCGGAGGGCGGGTAGACGTCGCCGGTGCGGACGGGCTGGGACTGGTCGCTCATGGCCGGCGTCGGCCTCGCTCGATCGATCTCGGGCAATCCGCGGGAGAGTTAACCGGGGAAGGCTGCTGCTTTGGCTAGCTAGCTTGGCTAGTTACCAACCCATTTGCGTCGCCGGGAATAAATGGTGACGACGAGAGCAGACGGGTAGAGCGGTGCGATTTGGCGTTGCATGTGTGAGCTTGCCACGTGAGCTCCTCGACGACACCTGCAAAGTAGAAAGACAGGAGAACGACACCTGGAACGGCACCTCTCCGTTGCACGGCACGTAGGCGGCGCGGCACCGGTCTGTAGTGTTAGAATAAATCCGAGGCATACCGCCGATCATCCGAGGACCAAGCAATCACACGAGCACGACACCAAGATTTGTTAACGAGGTTCACCGATATGGGTGTCTTTTTTTAGCATCAGTACAGACACAGGCGCTCATATACACGCGCATACACTCACCCCTATGAACGCACACACGTACACCCTACCCCTAAGAGCACCTCCGAGAGACTGAGCCGGCATATCATCTTGAGATTTACGAAGCCACCGTAGGCGCCTCGTCGTCGACGGGAACGTCTCCTCCCACTGAAAGCGCATCGCCGAGAAATCCTGAAATAAATTCAGAAATAATGCGAGCACCAGGATTTGAACTCTGATGGGTTAGGGATACCACTGTCCACCTAATCAACTCAACCACAGGTTGATTCGCTACGCGGCACCGGTCTGTAGTGTGGGTGAGGCGTGCTCCTATTTTTTACACCGTACAATTGAAAAGAACTACTACCACCGTCGTGGTTTATTAGTCCCTAACTCCCTATGAATTCTGTGTCAAATTTTAATCTTAAATTTAACTAATAAAATGTTATCGTGTGTCATAAAAAATATTATAAGTAAAAACTATGTTTAAATACAAGCACAACGATATAATTTTTGGTGACATGTATTAATATTTTGTTTGTTAAACTTTTAGTCAAAATTCGAAGCAAAATACAAAGAAGGCTACAAACCAGGACGAAGGTAGTAAGACATACAAAAATGCCAAATAAAGGCCAAATTTGAAAATTGAAAATTTAAGTTTTTATTTTTTTGAAAAGAAATAATATATGCTGTACCTAGAGACATCATGTACATGTCTGTAAATTTTCAGGAAGAAATTGGTAAAAATGAGAGCTACATAGAGAATACAAAGCACTATTCATTCTTAAAGTCCATGTACTTGTTCTTTTGGGCAGCTCGCATTTGAAGGTATTTCGTCCTAATTTTTTATACATTACATCCTTACATGTATGTACAATTTCTTCCAGGATATTTTGAATTGAAATGTTTGAATTTTTCAAAAAGTTTGAAATTTTCAGCCTCCATTACTCGGCCTCCAAAGCGCCCTGCTCTAAGACATATCTATTTCAGGCCAGGATGTTTTACTTATGTGAAAAAACTAAAATCTATTATTCGTTTAAGACTAGCCACAATGAGAGTAACTTCAGCAATAACATAAGGTCTAACTCAGCAAATTTGCTTATGTGATAATGATTTAATGAGAAAAAAGATGAATTGAGTAAAATAGCTAGTTATTCATACTATGAGTAACATCACACATACGAGCAGATACACGTACGAGCAGACCAAACGAGCCAATCTTTCAAGTGTACATCGGCTGAGTTGGGCCGGTTGTGTTTTAACTTTTTTATATAAAATAGTATTAAACTAATGGACTGAATTCCAAGGTGGTCCTTGGACCACCCTGGCCACCCTACAGCTACGCCACTGATCCATGGCAAAAGATTATTCTTCATGAACGAGCCAAACATGGAAGGTGGGTTATCACACTTAGAGCATCTCCAACAGGTGCGATAGATTAGCCACGTGCTGCAAAAAACGACAATTTGCCGCACACGGGCCGTTCGGCATACTAAAAAAGGCTTGCGCGGGGAAAAACGGCATCATGCACTGTTTTGGCGCGCGTCGTCCAACACGCTGAATAAAAGCCGCGTGCGGGCGCTTGCCAACCGCCATCTTCCTCACATCGCCTCTTCCCGTCGCGCCTTCTTCCTCGCCTCTTTTGGTGCCGCGCCGCCGTCGCGCCTTCTCCCCCGCCGCAGCCATGCCGCCGTGCCCCCGGAGCAGCTCCGGCTTCCGCGACGTCCGCCTCCGCCCCTTCGACGTGTATTACGCGGAGATCTGCTCCGGCGATACACGCCTTGGGCTCGGGATGTTCGAGACCGCTCACGAGGCCGCACGCGTGTACGACGCGGCGGCATGGCGCCTCGGGAGGCCACGGGTGCAGATGAACTTCTCCGACGTGTGGACGCACGAGCAGGCGCAGGAACTCGCGCCTCCCGTTGTAACACCCCCAATGTCATGCTACAGTAACCTGCTGTGATTAAGCTAATCATTTTTCCAAACAGTGCTTAATCACCTTTAATTCAAATCTCATTTGAAATTCTACTTTGGAATCAAATTCAATTTGCAAGTGATTTTTGAAGTTGCACAAAAGTTGTTGCAAAATAGTCCATCATTTAGTAAAAAATCCATAACAAATGATTGTTAAGGAAAACAACATCACCTCCAAGCTAAGATGGACTATAGCAAATTAAAACAGTGCCACTCAGCAAATTAATTGCTTTTCCATCTTTTTGCAAATTCCATCTAATTCAAACTGCTTCCAAACTTTTTGTGGCTGTGTCAAACATTGCATTGTAATTATGTGGCCAAGTCCCACATTTTACAGAATCCTTTTGGCAGCTCCAAAAATTTGCAAAGCATTCTGTAAAAAGAGAAAAGAAATAGAAATGCAAAAAATAAAGAAGAAGGAAAAGGGAACCCCCTGCCCCTGGGCCTAAGGCCACAGAGACAGGCCCAGCCGGCCAGGCCCAGCTCACCGCCCCGGTCGTCTCCCCCACTGTTCCCCCGGTGCGCGTCATCCTCTTTTCGTTCATATCGGCGGCCGCGGCCACCGCGTCGGCCACGCCCTTGCCTCCCCCACCACCTCCCGCAGGGGCGTTGCGGTTCGCAGCCGTGGCCACCGCAACGGCGTCCTCCCTCGTGGCCACCTTGTTGGCCGGGAGCACCGCCGCGGCGCTGTCCAGCACGTTCCTCAGCCGGACCTTCTCCTCCTCTACGACGCCGGGCCTCATGTTGGTCTCCGCGGCCTGCTGCGCCGCGGCCGCCACACCGCCGGGGATGACGCCGCCCAGCCCCGTGGCACGCGTCTCGGCGGCCTGCACCGCAGCCGCGTCCACGAGGTCCACCTGTAGAGCTTCGCCGATGGTCACCGCGTCCGTCGCCTCCTCCACGCCGGCGCCAGGCACCCGCACCGTGAACTGCGCCATCACCTGCATGCAAGCATGCGTGTCAAACACGTTCGGACATCACGTCGCCATGCAAGATCATGGCGCGCGCGCATGCGTACAACATATATTGATAATGATATGTAGATCTTACCTGGCCGCCGGCGGTGGCGGTGACGATGCGTCTCCCGGCTTGCGATGTTATATATATGATCATATTCGATATGTATTAGTGATAATACTCGAGATGTATTCAAGATTATATTCGATAATATTAGAGATGATGTATACGAGATTATATTATTCGATAATATTCGAGACGATGTATTCAAGATTATGTTACTCGATAATATTCAAGACGATGTATTCAAGATTATATTTGATGATGCATATTATCTGGATTATTTGAGATGATATATTAATTATATTATTCGAGATGGATATTATCTACTATGATTCAGTTTTTCCTTATTGATTGCATGCATTCTAATTTGAATACTAAATTGTTTTATCTGAAATTAATTAAATAAAAGCGATGGACAATATCGGCAGAGAAGGAGAAGAGGCCTTGTTCGAGATCATATGCTCCCGAGACCAGATGAGAATGAAAAAGATGACGGCTCGCAATATCCGAACAATATCGATGATGGTATGATGTTCAATGAAGACGAACGAATAGATGAAGTCTACAACATGCATGACGAAGGAAATGTTGTACTTTAAATAACAAAGACCGGCGAGGTATATTTATATAAGGCATCTTGTGATCATCACATGTTTTAATTGATTTATATATATATATATATATATATATATATATATATATATATATATATATATATATATATATAACGGATAAGGTTGAAGGAGCTGACCCATCCGTCAAATTTGTTACACAGTACAATTAATTCCAATGCATGCGTTATCCACACCCTAGAAATTAGGAACTGCCCATGCGCCACTCAAACATTTAAGTAATTATATTTTTCATCCATGCAGTATATTATCAGTGAAAGTGCTCCACGTGATACCACTTTGGAGTATTTACCTAGTGTGCAAAAATTTGGAGAATATATACTGCTTGCAACTGAGTGCTATACGTGAGTATAAACTACTTTTTTGTGGAGTGGGTATATACTACTTTTTAAGGTGAGTATGTACCACATTTTGATGAGATGTGATATACTATTTTGTTAGCCAGTGAGTATATACTACTTTTTGGTTAGTGAGTATATACTACTCCCTCCGTTCCTAAATACTTGTCTTTCTAGGCATTTCAACAAGTGACTACATACGGAGCAAAATGAGTGAATCTACACTCTAAAATATGTCTACATACATCCGTATGTAGTAGTCATTTAAAATGTCTAGAAAGACAAATATTTAGGAACGGAGGGAGTATATTTTACTAAGATGATATATACTACTACTTTATACATGAGTACATTTATATATTTTATCGAGATGGTATATACTACTTTGTTGGGAGTGCCTGCATACTACATTTTTTATGACTGCGCATACAGCTACATTTGTGAGTGAGTACATACCAAAAATTGTTCTATGAAGGGGATTATAATTCGGCAAGTGAAAGCATAAATCAGAATGAAGTATAGTCAATGATGAAGAGTATTTTATTCAGTAGAAAATATAAAATGAAAAGGCAGTATGCACTAAAATATAAAGTAGACTAAGGTAGTTAATAACTTCAATAACAAGATTACA